CAGTGCTCCCTTGACAGTGAACATCAAACAGTTTAATTATATAAGATAGACCATGGAGACTAGGTAATATATATGTAATGTTAGTTTGTGTTTAGCCCACATATCTTCATTATAGGGGAACAAGGTTACAAAGGTATTTGTATAAACACATTTGCAAACGGATGATCAAATGGAATATATATATGTACGTATTCCAAATAGTCTACAAGCTAGTAGCTACATATATATTGTGTATAGATCGATGTCTCAAAAGGCTTGTGCATAGTTGTCAAAAGAAGATAAATGTTTATTTATATTCAAAAGATATTGCATTGAAAAGAAGATACATAATGAAATAAAAAGGGGGAGTATTAGTGAAAAGTACGAATGGAAGTTAAAAAATTATGAAAATGACTAAAGCACACAATATTGTAATATATCTAAATGATTAGTTGTGTAAGCATAAGGAGAATAAATGACATGCTCCAATTATTGTTAAATAAAATAAATAATTCATTCTGATTAGATTCCTAACCTAAAAGAGACTGCAAATATGTAGGCCGGTTAGGGTTTTTATAGGCATGATTGATGATGATAAGGAAACTTCGTATTGGGGTTAATGGGTCTCTGCTTTCTAGTACATTTTATGATTTAGAAATGAAAGTTAAGTACCCATGATTTAATATTCAATCCAACTTTATATTTACCATTCCATTTTTGATGTTTATTAATTTAAGGGCAGCCAATCTAAGCCTTAGTTATTTCTAAAACTTACATTTTGCAGCCATTCTCATTAAATGCAAAGAAGAGACTTAAGTTTTTTTTTTTTGTTGGTGGTGTAGAAATCTAAGATTGTCAATTAATGTTTACTTATTTAATCCAACAAATTACATTTCATCATTGTTGAATTGCAACAACTACTAAGAGTATTGTTTTTCTTACAGAACATATCCATCACAAATCATGAATTATATCTTTCAAATAAATAAATAAAAAAACACGACAGTAGTAACATTGGTGAAATTACCACTAAACTTATATTAGGTTTGTCTAAACTAATTCGGACTTCAGAATAGAGTGTTAATTAAGTATAATATGATGTATAAACTAGAAAGTGAAATATATACATGTAGCTCTTAAAGTTGAGATATAATATCATTTTATTCATTTCAATTTAAAGATCTACGCATTTCAAAATGTTCACATGATCAAGGGTTTTTTTATGCAATTTGAACTATTTAATTTGTTGACGTACAAACATGATATTTAAAACTTTAGGGTCCGAAAACCCGGTTTAGGGTAAAAGTGAGCCTGCTAGTTTCACATTAAATAGGCCCATGATTAGGCCCATCTATGTTTAAAAGCGTCCACTA